GTGTGTGTGTGTGTGTGTGTGTGTTTGATGCTGCAGGTGACACACACAGAGCTGGAGAGACTGAAGAGCAGCTACAGACAGGCAGTGAGAGAAGCAGCTCAGGCTAAGAGGAAGTACCAGGAGGCCTATAAAGGTGCAGATTTGTGCTATATCTCACTTCTCTGATGAGAATCAGTTCCACACCGAGGCTGGGTATAGATGGTGTTGTATGATGTGTGTTGATTCTGAAGCCCCCCCGAGACAATTTTGTCGTGTCTGATACACAGCCACATAAATAACCTACGCAGTCTAAATGTGTCTTATCATCGTCTCACCCTGTGTCATTTGCAGATAAAGAGCGAGACAAGGCTAAAGAGCGTTATGTAAAAGCTTTGCTGAGGCTTCACGAGCAACATAACGAGTACGTCCTCTCTGTGCGAGCTGCTCAAGTTTACCATCAGCACCACTACAGTCAGATCCAGCCCGCCCTGCTCGGAGCACTGCAGACCCTGCAGCAGGAGATGGTGCTTATACTGTAAGATCAAATACACCCCACAGTGTGTGTGTGTGTGTGTGTGTGTGTGTGTTTGAATGAGAGAGAGACATTTTGAGATGCATTTAAACTGATATGAAGCTTTCAGTTACACTTTCATTGAATTTTGGCTCAGTAATTTAAATTCATGATAATCTCTCCATTAGCACCCTTTTTTAACACTTTTGTTTTCAAAACCTCAACAAATGTTTAGTTTTAATGATCATTAATACTTAAACATCCAAATTATGAAAGCTTTGTACTGATAATTTCAGTGTGTCTACGGTAAGAATAAGGAATCGTATGAAAGGAGAGAAAAGTGATGATATGTGTTGAATATTTGACAGACAAGTCGAGCACTGGTACATGTCACAGCTTGTTAGAACACATTTTTATGAGACAGGCTCTGACAGTAACTTCATTACAGTGGTAACAAGCAATAGTAACACATTTGACAACAAGTTAGGATCAACATTAATCAACCGACTCTTGATCTAGAAATTCTTAACTTCTGCTCTGGAAAAGAACAGTGATGCAAATACAGTGGTGGAGGAAGTACTCAAACATTGTATTTTAATAAAAGTGGAAATACACAAAACCGTACCCATGTCAAAAAAATAACACATTACCTTTTCTAACTGAGTAAAATCATTTGCTTACTGTATTGGACAAACATCTTAACAATGTTTGACCTGTAACTTCCTTTTTTCCTCCAATGCCCTATTGTTTCACCACATGGAGAGTGTGGGGCAGTTTGTCAGACTCGCAGCCCAAACATCCCAAAACATTAATCCAAGTTCATGTTCACGGTAATTTACTGCAAAATAAATACAATAAGAAAATGAAATGCATAAGTGTCACGTCCATTTAATCTGTTACTGAGGTTGAGGCTGACGCTGTGGGCCTTCCCCATCAAATGTCAAGCCCGCCGGATTTAGTGGCACCCACCCGCACCATATGAGGAACAATAATAAATAATGTGAATATAAATGAACTTAAATGTGGCTCCTATACTTATTTTAAAGTAAAGTATCAAGAGCAAAAGTAGTATCCTTATGATTGAGTCTCTGCCTCTTACAAACCAATTTCAGGTGTTTTGTCTTCACCAGTCATGCTGCTGCTGCGGGGGGGGTAATGTAACCTGCCTGCTCTGATTGGATCAGTTTTCCTCTAGTTGATGATTACTTAAAGCAATGTGAAGATATAACACAGCGCATTATAAAAATGTAGCGCAGTAGGAAGTACAGATATTTGTTGTTATATGTAATGTATTACATGCGAAAAGTACCTGAAAATAAATCTAATTTAAGAAGTCGAGTACAGATGTATTTAAGTACAAGTGAATATAATAGCTTGAGTCAATGAACACATCAACATCTGTGCATCATATGTAACACATGTTGTTGACCTGTGAACCAGGAAGGAGATCCTGCAGGAGTATTTTGACATCTCCACTCTCCTCCATCATGAGGTGGTGAAGATCCACAGGGAGATCGCCTCTGCTCTGACGGCCATCGATCCTGAGACAGAATACGACAGCTTCATTCAACAGAACAGGTAGACAGTCACTAACATTACATCCTCAGATGTCCACCATGTAGAGCACTGGTACCATGAACTGTGTGTTTGTGTGTGTGTAGGTCTGTGGGGGAGATTCCTGCCTGTGCAGAGTTTGATTGCAGTCTTCTGGAGGACAGCGAGCAGCTTAACACCAAAGAGATCGAGCTGAACGACCTCACGTTTGAGACAATCCAGCACAAGTGAGTAGAAAACACTCAAATTCACATTACTAACTTCCAATTTCCCTTTTTAGACATCTCAATTACTTCCTGTCCTACCTCCCACTGTTCTGTTTTTGCCTCTATTTCCTCTGACTGTTCTGCATCAACTACCTCCTCTCGCCACATTACTTCACCGTCCCTCTCTCCCAGACTCACTGCGGTGGAAGAGGAGCTGCTGGACCTGACTCGGACTCTGGGCTCCCAGCAGACCTCAGTTGAACATCTGGAGCTGGAGCTGGAGGCCGAGCAGGAAGGTGTCAAAAAAGGCCAGAGGTGAGTGGAGCACAGACATGAGCCAGAATCACTCATCCTCTGACGCTGTATTCAGAGGTTACAGAGGAGTTTTCAACATAAGAGATACAACTCTGCAGCGTTTTGCTAACTGCAAAGACAAATTAACGAAGATATTCTCTGCGGGCAGGCTTTCCCATCGGGGGAGTTCAGTGTGCTTCTGACTCGGCAACGGCTAATAGCCAGTGTTTTCTCCTGGGGGCAGTAAGTGCCTCATGAATTATAATGCAGTCATATGGTCAGAGATATGAGCTCAATCCCCTTGTTTGTCTTGGTTGGCGAGGCTGCGTGAAGGTGTTAGAAGTTCACAGTCCTGTGGGAGGGAACGAGTCATTAACAAGCTCCTGGAGGACACACTCTGAAACAGTGTGTTCATTTGCAAAAGCCAGATAACATGTAGAGGCATCTGGGGAGCACACACAGTGGAGGTGGGGGTGGTGTTTGAGAACTGAGTGGAGGATTTGTTGCACTTTGCTCTGGATTATGAAATCAACTTTGTTAGTTGGAACTTGTGGGACCTGTGGGCTCGGGAATAGAGCAGATGTAAAGTGAGCACACGGTTCCTCGTTCGATTCTGCAGCCGAAGTGTCCTTTAGCATTCAGAGCAACATTTAGACACTGATCCCTTCTGCTCCTGATGCAGTGTGTGAATGGGTCAATGCGATGTAAATGTGTTACATCGCATTGACCCATTCAGTACAGAGATTTGGGTCCCGGCTTTTTCTGCAGGCGAGGGGTTGTGCATAAGGGATGTGCCTCTGGGCAGTATTAATTCTGCTATGGAGATCACATATAACACTCAGGGGAATTCTACAGAGGGTCTCCTGCTCACCTACAGAATATCAGCGGACTTTACACTTGGGGGTCAGGCGCGGAAAGTCTGGAGGATCTCCACAGTTCAGTGTGAGTCTGAAAACAACTATACACTGTAAAGCACTTTGAGTGGTCGATATATAAAAGCAGTGAATTTACCTCCAGACTGAGTGCACTTCTCACTATCACTTTGATATAATTTGAAAAGGCTGGTGTATGGCTGAAGGCTGCTGGGCAGAAATAACGTTTGACCTGTTCCCTTCTCTCAACTCATCTGCAGCTTTTAATTAAATCACATCATTGCTCAATTCATCTTTCCCCAGGTGCCTCAAGTTTCTTTAATCTGAACATTTTGAGGAAGTCTTCCTCATGTTGGCAAATAAGTTAAAGGAATAGTTTTAGACATGTTGTGAAATATCCTTGTTCCCTCTTTGGTGAAAAGCTTAATAATATTACTAATATCACTTCCTGTCTGTAAAGCTGTTTTCAGCTTTACAGACACCCCCTTCGTAATGTCTGGTACATTGGGTATATTTTCTAGAGATAGTCCTGGTCAGATGTGATCACAGTAACAGGAACATTTCTGGAACATTCAGGTGAGGGGTGGTGTCTGGTTAGATGATGCAGGAGGCAAAACACTGGCAATGTCCTTAATTATATGGACCTATTTGTCAGAATCTTTCATTCTGAGATATGTACTCATCCAGTTTCGCATCTGTTGTGAATTAGAAACATCATCATCACACCTGCTCGCTCACTGTTAGTTTTCTGGAAATGTTACTGCTGTATCCTCACGTGGGCTCACTCTCACATTTCACTAGGGGGCTGGTAGAAAAAATTCCAGAAAAAGTTTGGAGCAACTGAACCGGAGACTTCTCACATACAGCCCCTCTGGAAATATCAAGGAAAACGTCCAGACTTGAGTGCATGTCTGAAAGCAGCAGAAAGTTTAATATGAAGCTGCAGCCAATTACTATACGTTATTTCTCATTTCTTCAATCACAATCAAAGCAACACAAATTCCCATGGCAAGTCCTACAACATTGTGATATTGGAGTTATATCGCAAAAAAAAAAAAAAAACTAAACATGAATAACCAAGACCAGGAAGAAACTAATGATTATTTCAAACACATTCAGTTCACAGAGAGAAGCAGCAAATTGTCACATTCGAGGGGTTGAAATGAGGGAACGTCTGGCATTGGTTCTTGATAGATGACATGAACATACAAGAGTCGCTGATTCATTTCCTGACAACTGGTGAATTGTTTCAGCTCTAACCAAATTGCCCTATAAGGACTCCGTAAGTGGGCTCATAATGGAGCTCTGGCTACAGTGTCTGGGCATGTGTGCTCTACAGTAGCTCAGAGGTGACAAGGTTGGGCTGGTGGTGATCAGACGGTGATTGAACCCTGTGTTGATACTGAAGAAGACCCAGCTTGTGGCACTCAGGTCATTTGAGGTTTACTGCTCTTGTATGCTCACCAGCTGACTAAGCTCTTGTTTAAGAAGCCCTATTATTGATTTCATTAATCAATAGGGAGCATCTGCAGACGTATTTGCACAGACAGGCTCTTCTTGTGCTCCTGTGCTCTCTGATTGTGTCACTTGTGTTGTTTTATTGATCTTTTCATCCCTTTTACTTTACCTTTGTGGATGATCAGCTGCTCTGTTTTATTCAGGGTCTACCAGTTCAGCAAGAGACATGCGCTGGAGGGGTGTCGGCAGCAGGTCGCTCTGTCTCAGGGCGTGAGGGCCAAGCTGGAGGCTCAGAGACTTATCCTGAAGGAGAAACTGGACCAGCTGGGCTCCAAAGAACCTCCGCCTGCTCTGAGAATGGACCCAGACTCTGTTTCGCTTTCATCCAACTCCAGCAGCGTATGTTCTCTCTGTCACACACTTTGTTTCCTTCCTAATCACATTAGTTCAGTCAGAGAGCCAGATGTTAAAAAAAATGTTTGTGTGTTGTATTTACCCTCAAAAACAAGTTGTGGTATAAAACTGCTGATGTGAAATATAAAGACGTCAGAATTGGTAGAACATAAACAATGTATACGGCTACGGCAGCATGGTTTTTGTGGTTGGAACTGTTGCCTCACAGGAAGAAAGTTTCCGCTTGGCCATAGTCTTTGAGTTTGTGTTTTTTCTGAGTACTCCCTCAAAGCAGTCTTTTGTTTTCTACTTCTACAAAAGAAATGTTAACAGTATTTCTCAGAGGTGCGATGTCACAAGTCCAAGTCCTGAGCTACATGGGATGTTGGAATTAGAAACAGCTGTAGCATCAAGCTCATTTCTTTACTAGCTATCGTTAATAAAGATGGCTATTGTTAAATATTACCACTTTATTACCACAAGGACAGAGATTTAGCGACTGCGCTTCCTATATGGTACTTAACACCAGCTCTTAGCTAACCTTAGCTTAAACCATTATTCACCGAAGGGCACCATTTACTGTCTCTAATTTTGAATGTAGCCTATGGAAACCAGTGATGATCAGATCAACTTCACGAGATTAAATTAAAAGACAACCAGAAAAGCCTGTTTTTACCTTCGCTATGAAATATACACAATAAACTATTTGGTGGATTCATTTATACAGATGCTCATTGTCTCCTGAGGTTTAATCCTCATGACTTGATCCTTCGACTTGTCATGTAGTGCCACCATCAGCTCAAATTTATGCAACATGTTGGTTTATGACCTAAACTACAAACAGATGATCAAACCAATACATTGGTTTTAATAATCTTGCAAGTATCTTTACTCTGACAGATTGAGTATATAAAATAAATGACGGCAGATCGTTTCCGTCAGTTGTTTGTGTATTCTCTTGATTTTGTATTTTAATTTTTTTCAGGAACACAGTCAAATTCCCTCTAAACTTATGGACGGGATCATCAACAATCTAAGTAGCCTTTTTAAACTAAAGACTGAGGTACGTTCAACAATTACAAAAATGTGTATTTTTACTTTGTGACATCACTTGCAGTACACACTGAACAGTATCTGTAGTATTTCTTTGTGTGTTGCTGACAGGAAGGACAGTTGTTTTGGTAGAAGGACACCTCCTTTCCTCGCTCTAACACCTTCCTGCTCTGTACTCAAACAGGGGAGGCTGTTTCTTCCCTCAAACCACACAGCAAACAAGTCATCATGTTTCCGTTAAAGTGTCAAACTTTCAGAGTGTATACCGTCTTTGCTGCTGCAGCTGACTCAGGCACACGATCTTTCTCTAGGCGTCTCGTGCTCCTGAATGCAGCATGGGACTTATTGAGGTCAGCTTTGTCAGTCAAGCTACTACTTTTGAAATTCTGCCCAACCTAAAACTAAGTTTACTTCTCAGGCAGCTGGTTTACACGTCGTTGTTTTATCGCTGCAGACAGATGTTAGCACACAAGGAGCCTCGACCCAACTGTCTTATAAACTCAACAGGAAAAGGCCTTGTGCTGTCATCGTTCATCTTTTAACCTTTTGAGAGATAAACAACTGCATGTAAGCTGAAAAATATAATTTTGGGCAAATAATGTTTTAACGTCCATAATGTGTTGGCCTTCAAGTCTAAATTATTTGAAGTTGAACTACTTCCTTCTCTCCAACTCCCTGCTCAGTGGTCCCCTGGAGGCCTGGAGGGTGGTGCAGTGAGACTTTAAAGTATTACAGACTCTTCTTTGAACTATCTCTGTATAATCTTTGCAGAATCATCCTAAAACCATCCTCTATCTTTTCTTATTGTTTCATTATTCATGTCAGCTTTAAGGATTCTGCTTCTCTCTGCTCCTGCCTCCAGGTGCCTCCGGCCCCCCCCCCGGTGCTGGATGTGGATCGTCCTCTGGGGCAGCAGGACTGGTACCACGGAGCCATCCCCAGACTGGAGGTGCTGCAGCTGCTGAAGAATGATGGAGACTTCTTGGTGAGGAAGAGTCAAGAGAAACAGGGTTACGTGCTCTCTGTGCAATGGGACGGATCCTGCAAGCATTTCCTTATCCAGGACACAGATGTGAGTAAATCTGAATGCTTTTAGAGAAAAAGACTAGAAGAAGCACATTTAAATTGATTTACAGTACTGGTCAAATGTTTTTCAATGGCTCAGTTCTTCTAGCCAATAAAACTAGAGTCTCACAAATAAACCAAGTTGTTTTTATATATAAGAAATGAATCATGTTTTGCTTACTCATCCATCTGACAAACTCATTCATGGTGTATTTTCTACAACAGAACTGAAACAATTGTTTAGAGAGTTTGTCCAAGTTCTGTTGCAGAAGTTCCCATAAAGATTTTGCACTTAAGGTTTGACTGGTTTCATCCATCCACCCATTTCTGTTTCCTTCCCAGTTTTTGTGCTTATAAAGGAGGAAGTTATGACAGCAGGTTAAGATTATGACTATGTTCAGCAAACTAAGCTGAAGTTCAGATGTTTGAAGTTAACACAAAACTTCATCGGTTCATTTCTAATGAATGTCAAGATTTAAAAAGATACAATTATTTAATAATTTTTTTCTCCATGATGTTAATGCGTGTACATTTTTATGCCGCTCTATTTTTGTGTCAGTAGAATCTGTACCGTCTGGACGGACAGGGTTTCCACAGTATCCCTCTGCTGATCCATCATTTACTGTCCTCAGAACAACATGTCACCAAGAGGGCTGACATAGTGCTGAGGAAACCTGTACTCAAGGTATTTAGCTTTCATATCTCCACAGGGATAGATAAAATATAGATATAGATATAAGTTACTATCTGGATATATTAATGGTTTCCATTGCTTGTCCTTGATTACCAAAGACACTTGCATACACCTTTCCAAATCAGTCAGCCCCCAGGTTTTAGGTTTGACATTGGTCTTTTTGGGACTAAACATATGTAATAACATAATCTGTTCTCAGTGAGCATGTATTTGTTTATACATAAAGGGTAGTCCCATGCAAACAAAGCATTTAGACTGCAGTTTGTATTTTCGATACAATAGGAAATGAGAGAGGATTTTCTGGGATATAATTCATGAATTCTCAATGAAAAAATCAAACACTTGAAGACTGATACCTATGTGTGGTTATTATTTGGTGCAGCTTGATTCAATTTAAGGGGACTGTTGGGCCCTATGTGATGCCATTCTAGTGAGTCTAGAGCTTTCCATTATATTCTCTATAGTCTTTGTTCTTTTCTGCCCTCTTTTGCCGTCTCACAATGTAAAAGAGCAACACATCTCTCATTGTTTGTTTTTAACCCCATTAGGACAAGTGGGTTCTGGACCATGATGATATTATCTTGGGACAGCTTATTGGACGGGTGGGTATGCTTGACATCTGTTGACGGAGAAGGGAGCAGACGCAAACATTTCATTTTGATTGCACAAACAGCCATGAGCAGTGAGACCACGTGTTTGTCCTCTGAAAATGTTTTCAGCATATTTGCATGAAACGTTTTGCCCAGAGGACAAAGACAACATGCAGAATGAGTCACACTAAGTCACTTTAAACATGTTCAACTGTATCCTCCTCTGGCTTGAAAGAGATCGTCTCTTGTGATGGAGACAAAATGCAAAGTAAAATATCTTCTGTAGTTCTGCCTGAAGCTGTCATGAGTCTTCAGTGGTTTGAATTATTCATATAAAGTGGGATATCTTGAAAGTTTCTATCTTATTGTACAAAATTCCACTTTATATTCCCATCTCTTTGTTGTGGCTATTTGCCCTTGGAAATACAAAAAGGGAAATTGAATAATTGTTGAAAAGACTAACTGTGGGAGGTAAATTCAGTCTGTGTAATTCAGACAGCCGCTGTCTCATTTTATCTACAGCTGAACAGAATCATCTTTACACAGAGAATGTACTGTAGATGTAGTGTAAATCACCTACATTGATATTGCTTTGGGACGGGATCTCTTTATGGTCAGTGTGGACACCACAGCAACCATTAAAATTTATATACATCTTTATTTCCCATTTCATCTGCATAAAATTGTACGTTTGGGAACATTTCACCAAGGATATTTGGTGTTGTTGAATTAGTTATTACTCTGATGACTAAGAAAAGAAAGTTTTATTAACACTGGAGCTGATCATGTTGTTGTTGGTGTGACACAGGGCAACTTTGGAGAAGTGTACAGTGGTTGTTTACGCTCTGATAAAACTCCTGTAGCTGTGAAAACCTGTAAAGAGAACCTGGCCCCGGAGCACAAGAGTAAGTTCCTGATGGAGGCCAGGTTAGTACACACACAAACAAGCACAAACACACACACACACACA